ATTTATTTATATATTTTTTTATGTTATTTAAGAATATTGATATATTATTGCATCATTTGAATTTTTTATTTGGTAAAAACACTTACCGTCTCATTTTTTGGCTGATGAGGAAATTGGTAATTGCCCTGAAGAATCAGTGGTTAGTCCCTTTGATTTGATTTCCTCAAAATCACATTTTAATTTTGCTACTTCAGTTTTAAGTTTAGCATTCTCAGAAGCAGTATCTGCTCTACTTTTCTCCAACTTCTAAATTCTGCTCTTAAACTCTACATCACGTCTGGAACTCTCTTCAATAATCTGCCTCAGATTCGTGTTTTCAGCCTAGAAAGTATTTTTTTCTTTTACTATTTGTTTCAATTCCAGCTTTAATGAATCTATTTCAGATAAGTATGTAGATTCATCTCTTTGTGATTGCATGCTTAATTTATATAACATTATCAGAAATGTTTGGAAGATGATTTTTACTGCACACATCTTGAAAAATATATTTTTTTGTTACTTAACACCTTTAATTTAAATAAAAATTGTGACATCTTTATCAATGATAAAGAACTCGTAGATCACTTTTTGCTAGAAAAATATCGATCATATATAATATCAATATCAATACATTATTGTGCTTTTCAAATTACTATATCTACTGCTTTTCATACATCACACTGGGAATCAAAAATCTAAAAAAATTGCCAATAGTGATGCAAAATGGCTCTGCAGAGCCGTGAGCTGATCGGCTTAGCCAAGCTAATTAATGGCTCAGCTAACTAACAGCTCACTAACCAATAGCTCAGCTTGTGTTATGTGAAGCTGGTTTAGAGCCGTGAGCTAATGTCATAATTGTAATTAATAATAAACTATAATAAACTATGACGATAACAATAACGATATTATTATAAAGATGATAAAATTAATAATAAACTATAATAAACGATAACGATAATGATCTTATCGTAAAATTAATTAATAATAAACTATAATGATAATATCGTAATATTTTGTATTTTCGTAAAGATAATAAATACCGTACCGTACTGATTAAAAGATCCTCATTTTATTATATCCCCCGTGTAAAATACCCATGTAAAAATCATAGAAATTCCATTAATTGTGATCAGCTCTTTTTAAAATCTCAGGATGTATACCATGATTAAAGAATAAATATTCATTTGAAATTTTTCCAGTTTGCGATAGAGACCCTCTGCCGTACAATATACCCAGGTATTTTATAGGTTTTTGGTTAGGTAATTTGTTTTAGATCCTGGGTCTTTTAATCAGTGCAGTACGGTACCTTTTTTTTTCTTTTTTCGTATTCTTACAATACTTTTACAATAATCGTACACTTATAATAATAGTAAAAATGGATCTTGATAACCCTTCGTATATTAATTCTCCAGACCCCCAAGACATTTTGCAATATACTTCTGATAGTAATATTGCTAGTTCAAGCTCAAATATTACCACTCTTACCAAAAATAAAAAAATATTCATGGTTACTCCATATTTTACAAAAAAACTAGACGATGATTCTTTAGTTACTTGCATTATTTGCAAAAATTCATTTAGCAAAAAAAACAGCAACAGGCATATTATGCAAGCATCTTGACACACAACATCCAGGATGGAGTACAATTGAGATTTTTGCACTTACACAAACGGTTTCAATACAAAGTTTGACAGTTAACCAAAAGGCACGGTTTAATATTTTATTGGCCGAATGGATTGTTTCGGACACCTTACCTTTTTTAATAGTTGGAAGCAAAGCATTAATCACTTTGTTAAAATTTTTTAATGCCACTCTTGAATTACTTTCACGTGAAACTATCAAGTCGATCGTATATAATTCTTTTATTTCAATGAGAGGTGATGTTCAAACTCTCTTTGAACAAATTTCTGGCCAGATTTCAATAACATTAGACCTTTGGACTTCCCGTGCAAATATGCCCTTTCTTGGTATTACTGTGTATTAGATCAACAAAGATTGGAACCTTAAAAAGATATTAGTCGATATGTGCATGCTACCACACCTACATACTGGTGAGGATATTGTAACACAATTAAAATCTATTTTAGCAATTTTTAATATTACGACCAAGATAATTTGTACAACTACAGATAGTAAATCTAATGTTGTTTTAGCAATCCACTTATTAAATATGCATTTATCTATACAAAACTACTGTTTTTATTCACGTCGCTGTCTTGCACATGTGTTACATCTTGTTGTTATGGCAGGTATGGCGCCAATTAAAGTATCAATTAAAAAAGTACGTAAATTCATAAAAGCTATTACATCATCGTCTACAATCGCTCAAGATTTTAAAGAAATTGGACAGTCAGTTGGCGAAGATGAGGTAGTTCGCAAAATTCCCCAGGACATATCAACTAGATAGAATAGTATCTACCTTATATTATCAGTTTATACGTCTATAACTACGATAATAGCAACAGTTATGAGGCATCATAGTAATCTTGCCTATTATAGGCTTAGTCAAGAAGAAGATTCTGATCTTCAAGCTGTAACCTGGTTTTTACAACCGTTTTATGAAATTACAAATATACTTTCTGGTAGTACATATGTAACATTGGGCCTTTCTGCTTTATTAATAGATGATATAATTGATGTTATTTCATTATATATTCAAAATTCATCAAGTTCCTAATTTCTTAAAACTGCTGCAACACAAATGATGGAAAAACTTAATCAATATATGGATCATATCTATGACAAAGCAGCTTTTATGGCTTCGATTCTTGACTCTCGAATAAAACTTGAATTAATGCCAGTTAATATGAACACACCAGAAAATCAGGATTATTTTAGTCAGATTTTTCAGGAGTATTCAGAGTCTGGATTAAATAATTCGCCTACTAATACGACTTCAAAT